TAGAAATTACGTCCATGACACTTCTGTGTACTCAGCGTTAGATTTATGTGCTATTGTGTTCAAAATTTGATTTTCGGTTAGGTTTGTTGACAGGCCGATAATTACTTTGATAGTGATATCATGGAGGATACGGATAGAAAAATATCATTCTTGTTTTTTTTTATACTGACCTTATCAGCAAGAACATCAAGCGAGCCTGTTAGGTCGAGCTGTTTTTGAGCTAATGAGATCCGTATAAAAAAATAAATGTCATCTTTCTTATTATCGGCAATTTGTCTTAACAATATGTTTCTAGGGGGTGTGGTTATGACATAACTCGAAGAATTGAAAAAATACTCTTTTTATGCGTACAAAACGTTATAATATATTTTTCGGTTGTAGGAATGAAGTTACCACCGTAAAAGTCGCTTTCATTTCTTTGATAAATTGACCCGGGTGAACATGAAAAAAGTGATGTTGCTGCATGCCTAATATTTCGAGTATCACATCCTATCAGCGATCTAGAATAATATTTAGCAGAGGATCAAAGTGAATATGTACAAACTGCCGATAAATCTAGATCTTTTTAAATATGTTCAAAATATGTCCACTATTATCTTGACTGGTTCATTCAGAGCATTAAATAAATTAAAACAAACATCAAAAGAAAAAAAATATACTTAACCTGATACTAAATTGAGAATTCCATTTGTAAATATTTATTTCATTATTATTATGTTATTTTAATTTCTAGTTTTCCCCCGTTTTATTACATGACATTTATCCCGTCCTCTTTTCCTCTGTTGTGACATTTCCGAATGCAACGTATTACTGCATTTTTACTTGCAATGATTAACACAGTGGGTGTCATTATTGGAACCGGAACTACTTCACCCTTACGAAGCACCTATGTTTAACCCCAGTTTTTTGGAAAGGTTATCGTTGCTGAATCTTTAGTTTTCTCTGTAATGTTTTGTTATTGTTGTTAGTCTTTTCGTAGTATTCATTGTTAACCATGGTTTTGTCTTTTTTCATTGGATTAATGAGTTTTGTTTCATTGGATTAATGAGTTTTGTTTCATTGGATTAATGAGATTTGTTTCATTGGATTAATGAGTTTTGTTTAGAACCCTGGTATCTTCTCTCTCATTTTAATGATTTTTCGAAATTAATAATCAATGGCGTATAAGAAATATTGAAAGTAGGAATCACATAACTTCTAACAGAATGAATTTTTTCACGACAAGGTAAACATCTTTAGTTATGTATAAAATGAAATTGAGAATGGCAACGGGGAATGTGTCAAAGAGATAACAAACCGACAAAAGAGAAAAAACAGCCCAAGACAACCAATGGGTCTTCAAAACAGTGAGAAAATCCCGCACCCGGAGGCGGGCTTCAGCTGGCCCCTAAACAAAAATGTATACTAGTTCAAAGAAAAAAGACGTCACAATAAACTCCGAAACATATAAATGAACCAAATGTAATAATGTTATAATGCCCATAAATAAAACGTGACTTCTCAAATATTGGATTGTCGAGATTAAAACTGGAATCATACGCGTTTTAATGGTCTTTCAGTTGAAAATTAACGTACTATGTTTTGTTATTAAATAGACCGTTAGTTTTCTCAATTAAATTGTTTCATATTTTTCATGTCGGTGCCTTTTATAGCCGACTATACGGTTTGTCTCATTGTTGAAGGCTATACGGCTGCCTATAATTGCTTACATCCACTTTATTTGAATTTTGGTGGATAGTTATCTCATTGGTAATCATACCACATCTCCTTTTTTTTATACTATATCAAAATTCCAGTGTGCACGATTTGTGTTCTCGGGATGTCATTCATCTTGTTCTCTCAAGATCAAATGTTTTGGAATGCAAACTACAGTAACTGATGACATAATGTTAAAAGCAGCTTAAACATGACAGCAAATATAGTGATTGATGGGGTTACACTTTAAATTGTAGGGCAGTTTAATTAGCAGAAATTGAAATTCACAATTAAAATATGTTCATGCATGCCATTGCTTCAGCACTGATTAATAGGCGATTGGATTGTTATATAGCTGACTGAACCTACCTTGGTTGTAATGAAAACGTATGATAAAGCTTTTTCCTCATGGCAAGAGTTTAATGAACAACTTTAGTAGGGTGTCAAAACGTTTAGGAGGCAAAATATATAAAACATAAGTACATAAAACGTTTCAGAGCGCCACAACGGAAGGGATGATTAATGCATATATATATAGATGTTAATTCGAAATCCGTACAGTTGGAAAGCTTATTTAATTTCGATAGTATCATTGAACTCAAGTCCACTGGAATATATGAGATGTAAGCACTCACTAAACTGTGGTTTATTGAGTACCAGGACACCATACATGTGCACGTGAAAGTGAAATTAAAGAACTTTGCAAGATGACTTTACAATGCCGATTTCCATTACCTCACGTTATAAAACAAACAAAAAATAGTTTGTTTCTGATATTCAGCAGATCGGACGGAAATATATGATCATGTTCTTAAAATGACGAGACAAATGTGTACAATGCAATCGAAAAGTCGTTCCAGTTATTTCAATGAAATGTTTGAAGAATTCACAAGCAAAAATCTGTTTAAAACATTTAAACTTAAATAATTAATATTTAAGAATGGATTCAGATCAAAGACCTAAATGTATTTCACATGTAAAAAACCATTATTTTAAATCGTTGCTCATATTTTTTTATTCATTTGCGTGTACTTTGCTATTTTGGAAAATATAAAAACGATGAATTACTCACTTCCCATTCTCCAATAAATACATAAGAAATAATTTGCTTTGTCGTCCAAATTTTAGTTTGATTTAATAGTATTGTTAACTTTTGGATATCCTTTAAAGGAAAGGAAAGGATAATAGTAAACGTTATAAGAATCATTGGATTTTTTTTTAATCCTCGTTGGTAATATTATTTTCATATTTGATTTGATAAATCAATATATACAATTTGAACAACTTTTAAAATTTACATATCTCTTATAAATTTATATAAAATTGTTTTAAAGTAGACAAATCTGATTTATAGTGCCATGCACTATTTTCACATCATATGTGTTTGGTCCTTATAGTTTGCTCTACTCTAAGTATAATGCTTACGCAATATTTACAGCATAAGGAACAAAGGATTTACAGCTACCTGAATTTATTTATGTTGTAGAGAATCAAAAGTTATCTCAAACAATATATATTGTAGTAAATGTATCTAAGAGTAGACAACTCTGTATGTGTAGCGATATCTTACACATACAATATTTATCTTGATTTTAATTAGGCAGTTGGAAAGGGACTCACCAAAATCAAAGTGTCCAAAATAGAAGATAAAAGCAGCCTGAAATTAAAATAAAATGTCTCATCTGATTAACCCTACACTCAGAATAAAACTAAAGTAACTTTTGGAAGATTTCTTTTGCTGTGTGCCGTTTTATCTTTATATATAACGTTCCTTTTATAAATTCTTTACTGCACTGGACGTACGAGTACTCTTTAAATAACCAAAATACTTCTATTTTTTTAATTTTATTTCCTTTTATCATTATCCAAGTTTCACTAGTTTGATACCATTTGTATTATTAATCAAGTGTAATTAACTTTTCACCATTTTTATAAAATATGATCAGATATAAATATTTTGAAAACTGACTTATTGGTAAGGTGTGTTGTTGTCCAATAGTTTGGCTATCATTTATATGTATTATAAGCCTAACCTTTTGAAATGATATGATAAAAAACTATTTCCCAGTTTAAGAAAAAACGTATTGCAAAATTTTATCAATACTGACCACATATGCAGATCGCAATGATACAGTAAACCATTTTAATTTTCCTTTTTTCTTAAATGCTTTAAATAATGGTAGACACTTAGACTTACCTTTGTCATTGATTATTATTACTATTATTATTATAACCAGGAAATTTTGTAGTACATTTTATTCCTATAATCACATCTTAATTAGTGGCTTCTTAAAGGGAAAACAAAATTCGTTTTGATTTTTCAAATTACTTGCTATATACAGATATATTCAGATGAGTGGATGCTTCAACTTGAAAACTCATACAGTTGTGCAAATTCTGGAGTGAGGATAAAACACCCGCAAAGTTGTCCAATAATCAATAAAGAAGTCCAAAAACAAGCACTTATAATAAAAAATGTTAAAAAAACATCGCCCAGTAAGAAGGAAGTTGCCTGCTTTTGACAAAATATAGTGTTACAGTATTCTATATTAACAGCACTTCCATGTAATGTGAGGAACCTGTTTAAAATACTTGAGAAAAATTTTATTGTTTAGATAAATCGCATTTATTATCGTATATATATATATGGATATTTACTGTCATGATAACGATATATAAATCTTGATACAGTTCTTTGTATAGTATAAGTTTTAACTCGTCCATAAATTCATTTATCATGCAATTAGTCATCAATTGGACAAATAACAAATATATACATATTTTTTTGACCGAAAGACTGAAAACAAAACATATGATACAATAATATCTCCATCTGTTTGCTCATGCGTCAAATCTCAATAGTTAACTTTGAGATTTTAACAGGATCGCCAGAGGAAAGGGCGTTTCTGAAAACAACAACTGACATCGTCAATATAAGTTCTACAGTCCCCATATGTCTAAGAGTCTCATTTGAATAAAAAACCCTTAATATATATTTAACATGCTCATCATCACCCATCGGCATTTCGTGTTTTTTGTCATGACAAATTGATGACACGTACTTAAATATTAGTATGGTCAGGCGTCTGGTCGAAACTACTGTTCACTTTGAACCCCCTTGGACTCATTTTGCTTTTTTGGTACCGATTTTCACTCCGGTTGTCGTCTGTCCTTGTCTGTTCTAACAGGTTATATGTAACATTCCTTTATATCAATGTTAATACAATATTAATGAAGTTGTTATCTTTGTTGATTCACCAATAAAAATTAATGATTAAGCAAAAATGCATTAAGGTAATATATATTTTAAATATATCATTACATGCTTAAGGACTATTCAAGACATATTGATAAATACCTCATAAAACTTGACTAATAATAAATCTGTTAGTTCTGGATGTTATAGCAAATATTCAGACATAAAAACACCCTACATACATAATACAAACATACTTCTTTATATACATATACATTTTGTTAAAACTTCAAGTCCAAAATGCACTTAAATGTTTTACATATATATATGGTGGGCACTTCAAAAACATAGTTACAGGAAGACAAAAAAACCTAGCTGTGCTTTCCTTAATAAGAGTTTGAATAAACTGTTTGAACTGAAAGTAAACTCACATTTATATTTTTTAACAGTCTAATACTATCACTGAATGAAAAACTCAAAATAATTTTATGCATTTTGTTGTATTCAATTGATTTAGATTACACGATTCAAAATAGCTACATTTTTAAGATACAAGCAATCACACGATTTGCCTGAATGCTAAAAAGGGAACAGACACATGGGAGCAATCAAGAACAAAGTCGACAGACGAACCTATGACAAAACCATCAACAAAGAAAGACAAAAAACAGTTCACAGTTCTACATAGAAAAATATTAATCATGCCAGAAGGCTAAGAAATCCCTGCTCCAATAGTTGTACCACCTTGTTGCTCATGGCAAGTAAACCTCAATTGATATAAGTCACATACGACGAAAAGAGAACGAACTTATTGCTATGATCAGTTGACCGTGTCATCTTCGTCACAGATATTCTAAAACAGCATTAGTGTTCAAGGATCCTTTTAGTATTTTTATTGTTATTTGTATCACCGACTTGACAGCCTTAACCACATTGTAACATATATAGCTATCTTCGTATCTGTTCACACATGTATATCTCAATCAGATAATCCATGGGTTTAAACGTCATTTTAAATAAATAAGATAGAGGATGATTTTCTAATGAACTATATAAGGTAAATTGTATAAATAGTTATAGTTCTTTTGCACTATATAGTTCATATTGTACTCTCAAAAACAAACTGCAGTTATTTGTCACATTAAAAATTATATCAGTCAAGATTTATACTGTTAACGTTAACGAAAAACATTTCTTTATGCAAATTCTTAATTTTTTTTCTCACATACTTAACAATGAAAGATATTAACACAAAATTCGTATATGTTTACATATATAAATTGATACGACGACATAATCACAACCTGAGCTGAATTTATATCTGAATTTTGAATCAGATGTTTTTCATAATAAATGCGAACGCACACAATTGTTTTTCAATTATACAATGTAATCTAAACCTCAAACATAAGTATGTTAATTGTTGAGACAGAGAATTGCAACACTGATTTCGTAATTGAAATAAAAATCTTAAACTATACAGCTGTGTTCTTAAAGGAAATCCATCCTCATAGATTTCGTTTTGTATTCAATGTATTTGAAATAAATTTGCTGTAGGAAAGATAGCCCTGTATCATGGAAGGGAAAATCGCTGTAGTAACAGGATCAACCACTGGCATAGGACTCGGTGTCGCTCGGCATTTAGCTAATCTTGGATGTAATGTTGTTCTCACAGGACTCGGAGGTGCAGCTTTAATAGATGATATAGTAGAGGAGTTCACTAAGTAAATGATTTAAGAAAATAAATTATTACCCCAATGTACCTGTGTCCTGTTATACATATGACAGTTTAATTTATTGTTTGAATCTAAACTATTGACTGAAATACAGTTACTGCTAACCTTTTTTTAAATAGCATTAAATATTGTAGTTTTCTTTTTCATCTTTGTAATAGCATTAAACAACATACATGTAATAAAATAGTCTACTAATTTATTATTTTATTTTTGACATTTCCCCTGTTTTTGGCATTTTCAACATATAACTATCTGAAAGATACATAATTACAGAAGATATGCTGGTAAAACATATTTTGTTCCATGTGATTTGACAAAAGAGGATGAAATCAAGATATTCTGCACGAACATTTGTAACGTCTTCCCAGAGGGTATAGATATTCTGGTAAATAATGCAGGTGAGTGTATGTATTTAATGAAAATAACTGTTTCAAATAACAAATGTTATGTGAAAGCTCTTGTTTTAAAACACCAAAAAGCACAACAATATAATCGATGTTTAATCACCAACAAACGCGCGGATTTTCCTAAATCATCGTTAAATCAGTCATATATGATATGGCAAAACTAATTTCCTGCCATTAAAGAATAACATTCCAATGAATTTTGTTGTTTCGTTTGTGTAATATATCTATATATAGTTGCAATGATGGTCTTTAGTTGTTTCGTTTGTGTAATATATCTATATATAGTTGCAATGATGGTCTTTAGTTGTTTCGTTTGTGTAATATATCTATATATAGTTGCAATGATGGTCTTTAGTTGTTTCGTTTGTTTAATATATCTGATATGTTATATATGGTCTTTAGTTGTTCATCTGTGTTTTGGTATTACTATCGCGTTGCTCAATTATTAGTAATACTTAAATCAAATTAAAGTTTTTCAAGTAATGTATTATGTACTGTTGTTTGTCTGCCGAATATTTTGTCTGCTTGTCATTGACTTAATGTTCAAGTATTGTCTCTTTGGTTTCTTCTCTACTTTTTAGTTGCATCCAGATTTGTTTAGAAGAAAATAAGCAAAACCTGTGTTTCAAGAACGGGATAAAATATTACATTCAATCTTTTCCTCGATAGTGACATTACCAATGGCGACTTATCGCTGGGTTTTTACTTGCATAGGTAACACGACGGTTGTCATATGTGGAGAAGGAACTGTTTACCCTTCTTGTGCACCTGAGTTCATACTTGATTTATTTATCAATCATCGAATATAGTTTTTTACCTGATAAAAGCAACACCAGGTGTGCCATTTGTGCAGCAGGAACTAACCACCATTCTGACGACTGTAAAACTGCTATGAATCAGTGAATTTCCTCAGCTCCAATGTACATTTAAACAATGTGAAATTAAGTTTCCCTTTTAATTTTTTAATCCTGGGGGTTCCCTTTGTTTTACATTTTAAGTGGATTGTTTTCCTCCTAACATTTGAATTTTCTTTCGTATTATTCATCCTTGGACGTTCGACATATTTATCTGACCTCAGTCTTTCTCTCTTCTTCTAAGGTTCATGCGATTCAATCCGGTTTTTTTTAAACTTTCATATAAATCTTCTTCATGGGTTTATGAGATTTGAATGTCGTTAACTGCTTTTGCCTCTAGCTTTCCTCTACCAAACAGAACTATTTGCTGTACACACATTTATATCCATCTACGCATATTCAACTTTTGCGCTATACATTAAAAATTCTATAAATTAATCCTTAGGAATCCAGTTTACAGCAAGCATAGAAACTTATCCACTAGATACATGGAATAATATGATGGCTGTTGGTCTGACAGCTCCCTTCTTGTTGATACAAAAGTTCTTACCAAAAATGAAAAAAAAAGGTAATACATTCAAGAAAATATCATATCAGAAGTGGATCATGAGTGTTAAACATGTGTCGATAGAGTATGTTAGAGTTATCTCGCTTTACTTGTGACAAAGAAGATCAGTATAAAATTGTTAAAAGAAGAAATGATTTGATTAATTTGAATAATCACTAAGAAAAGGAACAGTTAAGATTTTAAAAGAATGAACAGGGCAAGTATTTGGGATGGACTGCATAAGAATGTCAGTAAAAATACAGTCCGAAAAACATTAGAAAGTATTACGCTCGAGAATGAATACGCCATTACGGAAAAAATATAAATGCAAAGTATATTAGAACCCTAAGCACGTGAGATACATAGTTAACATTATAAAAATAAGAAGATGTCGTATGATTGCCTATGGTGACAAATTTCCACCAGAGACCAAATGACGTAGAATTTGGCAATTATAGGTCACCGTACGGCCTTCAACAATAAAGGAAACCCATACCTCATAGCAAGCTATAAAATGATGATCATGTACATGTTATTAATGATTCCATTACAGGATGGGGAAGAATCATTAACATGGCATCCATGATGGGTATTATAAGTGGACCACAATTGGCTGCCTATAGTGCCTGTAAATCAGCATTAATTGGACTTACAAAGGTATGTGATTCTGTTTTGTTCGTCATCAATTAGATTGATAGCAGATGATTGATTAATTGATTGATTGATTATGAAACGCCTTTGGTATATTTTTGAACAAAATATAAATATAAAAAATATTAGACAAGGCTTTAATTTAGGCAACATTTTTTTCCGCTGTCAAATAATGAATTTATTTAAATCTAAGTGATACAACCCAAAGAAGACGACAAGACAATTGATCTATTATCTACTTAATAAAATGATGTATTATATCACTAGGGTGTTGCACTAGAAGCCGCCCCGCACGGTGTGACATGTAATGTAGTCTGTCCAGGTTATTCTGATGCACCAAGTAAGTTATGTAGGTTTTGCACTGTGAATACACGTAAAATTTTACTCAGGTAAGGGGAGGGTTGAGCACAAACAAACATGTTTGCGTCATGGATTTTGCTCATTGTTGAATGCCGTTTGGTGACCTATAGTTGTTAACTTCTATGTCATTTGGTCTCCGGTGGAGAGTTGTCTCATTTGCAATCCTACCACATCTTCTTATTTATATTTTTTAACTCCTTCTGAAACGTTCCTTTCTGTCCAAATCCAGGAGCCTAAGTCTAGCTGTTTTCATTTGTTATGTCATAATTTCTTTGCGTTTATGCTTGCTATTAGCTTAAACCAGGCCGTTAGTGATTTCGTAATGTTATCCCGGTGCTGTAAGGATATTGGTAATGCTTATTGTTGTAGGACGGTAACCTGTATTTATAAATATCCTTGACTTTTGGTTTTTGGTGGATAGTTTAATCCACCATTTTCTACATAAGGTAAAGTCAGGAATATGACTGTTGTTTTCCATTCGTTTGATGTGTTTTAGCTTTTTTGAATTTGCCATTGGATAAAGGACTTTTCGTTTTCAATTTTCCTTGGAGTTTTGTATTTTTGTTATTTTACTTTCTTCTTATTGCCAATCATACCATATCGCCTTATTTTTTAATGATGTAAGAGGACCAAAAATTTGCAACTGGATTTAAGATAAATACAAATAGAAACACTGGTTTTAGTTGGAGTTATCTACTAAATTGTGTTAGTCTACATACAGTTGAATCTGACACAGTATATATCGTATTAGGTCACTAGCACACTGTGTAACTATTATCTCTGGTTATTAAAGGACCCAAATGTAAAACAATTCAAAGGAGAAATCTAATGTCCTGATTTATGCTCACAACAATAAATGAAAAACTATTATAACGAAAATGCCTGTACCAAGTCAGGAATATGACAGTTGTTATCCATTCGTTTGATGTGTTTGTTTTTTTTTATTTTGCCATTTGATTGGGGACTTTCCTTTTTGAATTTTCTTCGGAGTTCAGTATTTTTGTGATTTTACTTTTTATGACCGACAGAAACTGATTTCAACCACTTGTCTGCAGATACCTGTTCTGGGACAAGCATAAAAACTGGGGAGGATTAAAGGTGTTTGTGAGCGTTCTTCCCTTCTCTTACCTGGGAAACTGGTGTAACAAAGCAAACAATAGCTCAAACTGTAAAAATTAGTTGAAAGAGGCTAGACACATTATATCGATATTAAGCAGAACAAAACTAACAAAGTGATAATTAACACAAAGGGGAATTGTTTGCCTTCCGTAACTACTAAACTGAGACATTGAAACTACATTTTGGAAAAACTTGAAAAAAAGATTCTATCCGTTATCACAGAACCAAAGATTCTATCGATTATCGGCAGAACCAAAGATTCTATCGATTATCACAGAACAAAAGATTCTATCAATTATCACAGAACCAACTTATTAATCATTTACAGCATTTGGAAGATTATCAATTTGCGCAATTCATACCGCCAAATAAATCAATAATTACGTTCAAGGTTGAATTAGAAAAATACAGTGTAGAATAAGTTACCTCCATATTTCCTTTTTGAATTCTTTCCAATATATATGATAACATTCTAAGTATTTACTAATTTGTTTTCTATTGTAGTATTTTATCACAAAATAGAAAAGCATGCTGTTGCAAATTCTCTGTCTTTTGATTGTGCTAAGGTAATGAATGTTGTTGTATAACTAAACACGAAAAGAAAAACACAACATTGCTTAAATTTTTGAAATGCGTTCCTCAATCATGATTCTTGACTGGATTTTAACATTTTGTAAATTAGGGGTTTTTATAATTGCAAAATATGAAAAAAGATTATATACCGCATTAATATATCTTTAAAACTCGCATTATATAAGTTCCGACGGCATTATTTGGTCCCGGAGAATATCATCAGCCCAGCAGTCACTTTTGTGTTGACATGAAATATTATTGATATATACCTATTTCTGTAAATTTGCTGTTTATGAAATTTGAACTCATTCGAAACACTAAAGTTTTCCTTTCCCCTTGTGTAGATTGCTTTAGCCATATTATTTTTGCACATGTTTTTGGCATTTTCGGTTTTTAATATTATTTAACTTTGTACATGTATTTGATTTGGCCTTTCAACTCTTTTGATTCGATCGTCACTGATGAGTCCTATGTATACGAAACATGCGTCTTGCGTACGAAGTTGTGTTATTGTTCTTTGCCTTTTTGTCGTTTTTCTCTTTAGTCATTGAATTGTCTGTTTTTATTGGACTTATGATTTTTGATATGCTATTCAAAGATAGACACGTGTCAACAGGACACCTTAACGTTCAGCTTGCCAAAGCTGCGATTCAAGAAACGACGAATATTTAGTCAGGAATATGACAGTTGTTTTCCATTCGTCTCGTTGGTTGATATAGTCGAGAGTTTGTTTTCTCAGGTTTTAAGAGCCTCCCCCTTTTTGAATTTGACTTTGAGTGTTGTATTTTTGTTAATATTTTTTTCTTACGCTTAACTTATCCATCTATAGGTCTTTCTTTAATCTATCAATCTATTTGTATTTCTATTACTTATCTCCTAAAGTTGTATTACAGGAAGAACTGTTTAGTACACTCAATCCACACAAGAAACCGATAACAGTACAAGAGGTAAGCTCTAATAAATTATTCTGAACAACATTATTTAAAAGTTTAAATAATAGTCCACCACGGTTAAAACATATCAAACGTATTTCTTATTATAAATGTCGATCAAATTGTGCTATAAAAATTATGATATGGGCTCTTTAACAACTGTTTTTTTTTTACCTATAAACTAATATACAATGTTCGAAATGTATTTCTAAATTAGGAAAAAGAACACAAGGCAAATGACAACATGTAGACCGTAAGATCTAAACAAAATGTAGTTAAAGCCGATGTAATGTTTAGGTTTAAGCCTTCCCAATGAATGTTATTCTATAAAAGTGCTTCGGACACCCTCGGATGTTTAACGTTTTTGTTATTACAAATTCTAACTGAACTGATTATTCCTATTTCTCTAGTTCTTTGTTATATGATCAACAATTATTATTTTGTTTTTCGTATTTTAGATTGCTGAGCTGGTGTCGTTTCTTTGTACTTCCGGTGCTGACAGTATGACTGGTTCTCCAATATTAATGGATGCTGGAAATACAGTTAGATAGATTACTGAGCTGGTGTCGTTTTTTACTCAAGATAAGGAGATTGATCACTAAATTTAGACTAAGTGATCACTCCCTCTTAATTGAAAAGGGGAGATATTTTAAAATCCCAAGAGAGGAACGACTTTGTCATAAATGTAAAATACTAGAGGATGAGAAACATTTTTTACTCTATTGTGATTATAATAAAACACTAAGAAATGCCTTTGTTGAACACATATGTACTGAAAATAATAACTTTAATAATTTAAATGAAGAAGAAAAAAATCATTATTTACTAAATCCATCAACGCCTTTACAAACAAATCAGTTAGGATCCTTCTTGAAAAAGTCATTAGAACTGAGGGCAGGGGACTCTTAACAGATTGTTTGTTTTTATAAAATTTTGATGCTGTTTTTATTGTGTTTGTTTGATATGTATGTATATATGTTTATTGTGTTAATACATGTTGGTCACAAACTGTAAAGTTTATACGACAATGAAATATTTGATTTGATTTGATTAAAGCGATTTTAATGTTACTTTGTCATTTCTTTTCACCTGACGTTTTTTTCTTTGTTTTTTTTAAAACTTTTGAATAAAGTATTTCTATACGGTACATTATCCGCAAATAAGATTATAAAAAAAAGGAGAATTGCCATGGCGTTGTCAGTTTGTTTTCGATCTATGAGTTTGACTGTCCCTCTGGTATCTTTCGTCCCTCTTTTGTCTCATTTACAATTATACAACATTTACTTATTTTTATGTACACGAGAAAAAACCAACGACCTGATTATTATCAAAGATGTTCTAAGTCTGTTTATATTAGAAAGCAAGATACATTTACTCTAATAGAAGCTGAGTTGTAATAATTAGGTTACTCAGACCCATACTTTTAGCATATTTTATTTGCATAAATACAAATTGGATAAAACAAGACTTACAGAGCCTTCTCTAATTCTATTTTATCATGATCAAAAGATATTAACCAACAAATCGCTTTATGGACCATTATTACAGCTTATTAAGATCGCGATTTATAACAGATTCTATTTGAAATGCATCATGGCCCGTATAGCTGAACAACGTGTCATTTGCAAAGAATTAAGTGTTGCTGCAATCTCATTTATGTATATTATAAAAAAGCAAAGGTCCGAGGACAAATCCTTGAAGAACTCCAGCTGAAATATTGCAAAGTTTCGAAGTAGACTACTCTTTGTTTTCTTTCATTCAGATAGCTTTTAATACATTTCAATAGATACCAAAAATCTTCATTTGATGTATAAGTCCATATATATCGGATTCCTATATAGTAGTAAGATATGTGCTTTTGTTGTAGGATGTATAAATACATATTCATTTCGTTTTGAACATGTGCTTATCCCTGTTTTACATAGTTGTGATACGTTGAATAAGAGGACAGAGGAAATTAATAAGGTACATGTAGTAGTGATAACTGATTAACGGACTGATAATCGGCATTTAAAACAATCCACATTTTAACAATAATGCCAGCCTTTAAAAATTTCAAAAATTCATATTCTTATTTTGAAAATAACAATAAAAATATATTTAAAATACGAACTACTCGATAAAAATCCAAATATATAAGACGATATCCGTGCTTACAGCATGTTTTTTTCCGTAAAAACCTCATATTGATAATTTTCAAAAAGCAAACGGTTATAAATGTTCACAAAATGTTCTTCAACAATAAGCTTTATTGTTCATACCAAACGTATTTACAACTAACACAGATTCAACTTAAAATAAGATAAACGTAGTGTTTGTTATCCTCAGCAATACTGTATTTATTAAGTTTACATACTTATATATTTTTTGTACTTGTATTAAATATGACACTTATACGGCAACGTATCTTATCTAGTATCGCATATTAAATGGCATGTTTTTAAAACATTTTTGAATAGTTTTGTGTCATTGGTATCTATCAACCCATTGACTTTGACGTAATGAATAAACCTATGTTTTATTTTATGTGTCTTTATTATGAATGTTAGCATCAAAAGGTTGATATCTTTATTAAAAGTCTTTCAACAAAAAACAATATGTGCCTCGTACGGCTTACACCATTATATGGTATTTTTTGTTACTATTTGAACAATTACATTTGACATCTTTCTTCCAATAAGAATTACTTGGCCAAAGGTAAGGCACATATTCTATTATAAACTTATAGGTTAAATCTAATGCATTCAGTAAATATAAAAAAAAAAAAAAAAAAAAAAAACAATGATAACAGAAAAATGTTTATTTCTTCAGCTTGGTGCTATTCATGGTTTACCAAAACATATACATGTAACATAAAAAAGAGGGGATGTGGTATGATTGCCAATGAGACAACTATCCCCCCAGAGTTAAAATGTCAATACATTTTGATTGAATAAATTGAAGGAATCACAGCGCCACATTAGAACAATCATTTTCTGATGGATGTTATTTTGTTTGATTATTATAATGTCGAAAGATCACGGAATAAAAGATATGTACAATGTGTGTTGTCTTGTCTTGTCCTCAATTACACATCATCTATAAGTTTATTTCTGTATATGTTTATCTAAGTTGACTATTTAAGGTATAAAATTTACAGGATAACCATATTTATCATATATTTAGTACTAAATACAGCAATTTTGTATAATTGATAAAGGTTCTTTACCCCAGTCTGTTTCATCTACCCTGTATCGCATACCCTGTATCGCATAACTAAACCCGTATCGCATACCACGTATCGCATTGCTAAACCCGTATCGCATAGCTAAACCCGTATCGCATAGCTAAACACGTATCGCATACCCCGTAACACATGGCTAAACTCGTATCGCATACCCCGTATTGCATAGCTAAACCCGTATCGCATACCCCGTATCGCATAGCTAAACCCGTATCGCATACCCCGTATCGCATGGCTAAACTCGTATCGCATACCCCGTATCGCATACCCCGTATCGCATACCCCGTATCGCATAGCTAAACCCGTATCGCATAGCTAATAAACCCGTATCGCATACCGGGCGTGACCTCATAGATCGAATGACGTCAAAGTTGGACATATGACGTCCAGTTGCTGTATTTCCTGGCATGATACGAAATGTAACCACATTTAGTTAGAATTTCAGAAAAATACTTGCAAAAGAAAATGGGTCATTTATGACGCTGATTCAGACTAGAAATTTTCATTTTGGAAAATGATCAAAATATTCATTCCCTCTTCACTAGTTTTTTGTTTAAACGTACATGTACATGTATGTGTGTTAACCTTGGTGCAATGGAACTGAGGAAATAACAGTAAGGAATCTATATATTACTATTGTAGAGCATTTGTATTAATTATCAATACTTCTTGTATGTGCATTGATACCCTAAATCAAGGGTTTAAATAGCAAATTGTTCACGTCAAAATCCAATTATTTTGAATAATGCAAATATTAAATGTGGCGTTAAAACACATTACTTGTACATGTATCAATATGAGGTTCCAAATGGGAAAAAGAAAAATTTAAAAATTACATGCATCTAAAAGAGGGTAGCAAAACAAAATGAGTCATTTATGTCAGATTAGGACTAGAACACAGTGGACTAGAAACTCTTATGATGGACTATTTAAACAAATGACCAGATTTCTCTTTTAATACAAGTATTAAACATAATGTAGTTGTTATTTTGCTGTCATATGATCCTTGTTGTGATATTATTGTTTAGTTTGTCAGATTAAAAATAAAATGGTGTTACATTAATATTTATTCATTAGTATCAGAGTTTCATGCGTGGTCATTCCAAGTCCAATGTTTTTAGTTCTAATAAATGATGGGGTTACACAAGCATCAACAATAATCGTGGTATTCAGTATGTATATTTGCCTTCGGGTTTATATGATCCGTTCATCCTATTTTGACTCTTCAAAATTCAAGAGTCAATCCCAACTGAATTGAGGTAAATTATATGGCCTTCCAAATACCGTTTCGATTCCTAACATCCCTGAAGAGACATTAATTGTCGAAATCCGGATATGGTGTACAAATTTTTGCACCCGAGTCATGTTTGCGGTATACCATCTTTTCCGCAAGTTTATTGTTTTCTGTTTGGTATTAAATTAATAATTAAGATCCATTTTTACATCTAGTGATCCGTTTATTTGGCAATCGCCATGGCAGTCAGCAGGGTTTAAGAACATCCGTTGTTCGACCTGCTAGTCAAATGCGTTTTGTTAAAATATATACTTTTTCACTTTTTTGGTCTTTTGGAAGATTTTGTTTGTGCTGTATTTAGACCACTCTACCAAGAAATTTGTTTTGCATGCACACGTATAAAAATTGCGGTTTTTATCCAACGCAATCATAGGTTTGAACGTTGTTTTCAATTTAGACTTGTATATTATCAGATTATTACATGGCATTTTTCATATCGCATGTATTATCTGCCCTAGGTTTTAATATCAGCCCAAGAGCCGCATGGCTCGAGAGCTGATATTGACCGAGTCTAAATTGAAAACAACGTTCAAACCTATGATAGCGTTGGATAAAAACCGCAATTTTTATACGTGTGCATGCAAAACAAATTTCTTGGTAGAGTGGTCTAAATACAGCACAAACAACATCTTCCAAAAGACCAAAAAAGTGAAAAAGTATATATAGGAGGGAACAGCTGACAGTATTGTTAGTGAATGCATTTAAATACATGGTCTTAAAATGTATCATTTGCCAGTTTCATAGCTCTATATTGATCATGTAATAAAGTTATTAGAGACATTACGATGTGGATGTCTCGGCCAGTATGAACGATCCCGAATTTTGTTATGACTATCAGGAAAAGGGATATTAAGGAAATAAGAAAGTCTATATATAAAAAAAATCCAAGTCAGCTGGAAAACTACAGGAAAATCATAATGTTCTTGTCTCTTATATATTTTCGAACGATTTAAAAAGAGGATATCCCATGAATCTGATTCTATTAAAATATATGTTAAACAGATCAATACATGGCAAAATCCGTATCGCATGGTGTATCACCACTCGACCAATATCAGCTGATATTGGTTCTTCGTGGTGATACAGCATGCGATACGGATTTTGCCATATATTATTCTATATATATTCCCTTGGCTCCTTATGCAGTGTTCATTTTCAGTTGTTTCGATATGCACGTATTTGCAGTGACCTCTAACATTTCAATTCGCTTATTTAAAATGGAAGTATTTCGTGTTTCTTCATTGGAATTCTGTTAATCTTTATTTTGACAATACACTAGATCTTGTCTTCCTGTTTTGTTTATGATGTTTCTGTGTGAAACAACAGCAACCAATATCAGAACAAATGACAGCATGACTTTCCCCCAGCAAGTTAGGTACTTAGAGCTTTTTTTCAGTAACTGCAGACATTCTTTGTGTAGTATTTTATTGATTTCTGTTTTTACTTTTCTTTTATGTACTTTTGTTATCAATCTATATTTAAGAAAATGTGCTTTTCCTGTACTGATTATAATTTTATCTTCTTTAATATACAT